TCATCTTTTTAAGTGGGAGAACTTGCACAATTGGTGGCTGACTAAATACTTTTTTGCCCCACTGTATATTTAACTACATTAATTAAGTTTTTTTTAATGTTAAAAAGGAACCATTTCATATACTTCTAGTATATTTATACTTAGCAGACGTCTCAATGAATATGAGAATATAGATGGACTTATACCATCCAACTAAGAATTCTTTCCAGGAGATCATTTCTCCAACAAGCAGAACAGGTACTGTATTATTAAGCAAATGACAGTATATTTGCCTTAATTCTTGACATCTGGTTCCTAAAAATGGAAGCAATTTCACTTTTACTTATTAAACTCCAGTACATAATTAATGAATTCTGCAGACTGAGTAAAAGATTATTATACAAAGTTACAGAATTCAGAAACATATCAGTACCTGACTTGGGCCTGACACTACTTACTATACACTAAAATATGCATTAGGGTAACTAACTGGCCACAAGTCTCAGGAAGGAGAATGCCAGTGTTAGGGCTTCATGAACTTAGAAAATCCTAAATCAGTAGAGAAGCATTATGTACATTGGAAACTACTGGAAGATCTCAGAATGATTCAATGCAGGTTGGAGTTATTGCAAGAGGAATTTGGATAGTCTAAAACTACAGAGGGGCAATTCAATTAGACCATCTGATTTCATAAATTGGTCCAGATGCATCAGCAACATCTAAACCTCTTCAAATATGTTCTGGACGACTCCAGAAACACACACACATACATATTCAAGAAATAATTAAAAGGAATTGTTAACAATGGATATTAATACAGTGCTAGAAATCAGCAGTTAAAGGCTTAAAGAATATTATATTTCTTACAATCTTAAAATGGTATTAATTCAACAAAATATTATTCCTATTTAAAAAATATTTTTTGAGTGTCCAGTAAAGAGTTGGCTGTCAATTACATTATTTTGAAAGTATAAAAATAGTAGGAGGTACACTGAAATTAGCAGAGTAGGTGATTACAGAACTACTTTTAGTAATCTTTGAAAATTCCTGGAGGACCATTAAGGTCCCAGAAGACTAGAGGAGAAAAAAAAAATGTACTTTTCATGTTCAGAAAGAGGGATGAGGATGACCCAAGAAAGTATAGACTTGTCTGCTTGACATTTGGACCATGTCAGATCTTTGACATATTATAAAGGAGCATGCTTGTGTGCACTTAGATAGGCATGCTACAATTAACAGGACCAGCATGAGTTTGTCACAAACAAATTGTACTAGGCCAGCCTTACCTGTTTTTTGATAGTTACTAGCTTAGTAGATCAGGGAATGTCATAGACATTGTGTACCTGGACCTCAGCAAGTATCTCTGGTAAAACTGTAAAATATAGACTAGATTATGCTATTGCTAGATGGGCTTATAGCTGGATGTCTATACCCAAAGAATACTTATTACTGGCTCCACTTCAGCTTGAAGGAGAGTACTGAATGGAGTGCCAAAAACTTAATTATCCCGGGCCTCGCACTGTTCAATATTTTTATCAGTGACCTGGATGAGGGAGTTGAGAGGACACTTGTACAGTTTACAGTTGACACAAAGCTTGAAAGAGATGGCTAATATTTTAGTTGAAAGAAAAAAATATTCAAAAAGATATAAACAGGCTTGAAGAGTGGACTGAGAAGAATATAATGGAATTTATCAAGGAGAAATGAAAAGTTCTGCATCGGGTAAGGAGACCTGGTTTGACAGTAATACACATGAAAGGGATCTATGTATCCTTATTAACAAACATGAGCCAGCGGTGTGATACAGCAGCCAAAAAGGCAAATACTATATTGGGGTGCATTAACAGAAGTACAGGGTCCAGATCATGGGAAGTAATTGTTCTACTCTATTCTGTCCTGGTGAGGTCCAATTTGGAGTACTGTGCTGAATTCTGGACACCACAGATCAAAAAGGACAGTGACAAATTGGAGCAAGTTCAAAGGAGGGGTACCAAGATGGTAAAGGATCTGGAAACTAAGCCTGAAGTTTAAAGGATCTGGATATGTTTCCTACAAAAAAAGACAAATGAAGGAAGATATGATAGCAGTCTTCATATATCTGAAGAATTTTCACACAGAAGAGAGAGTGGACTTGTTCTCTATTGCCCTAGAAGGCAGGAACAAAACCAAAAGGATAAAAGTTAAAGGAAACACATTTAGGCTAGATATCAAGAGGAACTTCCAAGTTGTATGAGTTGCTGGCCAGTGGAACAGGCTGCCACAGTGAAGTGTTGAGCTCTCCTTTATTAGGGGGCTTCAGACAGAGGCTGAATGGTGATCTTTAAGAGATATTTTAGTAGATCCTGGACTAACCAAGTAATTAAACTAGATGATCTCTAAGGTTCCTTCCAACTCTTATGATATGATGTAGGCTTGCCTAATTATCATCTTTTTTTGGTTTAATATCCATAGGTTTGTTAGTATGGTTTTGGGGCAAAATTTTTTGAGACAACAGCAGCAATTTCTAAAAATCTTTCATTAAACAACATATACACATTTGTGCTTGCCCATAAAGAGATAGAAACTGAATTATTTGGGAAAGGACTAGAGAGTTTGTTGTTTCTGTTGCTGACTACAAATTCCTGGACTGAGTATACTCAACTTTTTTTTTTTTTTAATCTCAGTGACTTAATAAAATCTGTAAAAGGTTGCATGGAGATTAGGAATTGAAGTTCAAGTTGTTATATTAGAAACTTTCAAAAATATAAGTTCAGCTAGTGAAAGAAACTAAGATAATACTTTTTTGAATGTTCAATATTATCATGGTGATCTAAAAGGTCCAATATCCCTTTTCAAGGGAATATCAGTTCCCTGAGGTATAGCTGCTTCAGTTTAAGGATTCAAGGGCACAGACCAATTAAAAAGGTTTGTGTGCGTGATTTAATCTTGTGCAATAGACTGTAAAACAAAACAGTGCTATCTCTCATTTAGTTGTTCTGCATTTAGCTTCTGCCTCTTATAGGAGGGAAAATCAGTTTTGAGACAGAACTGAGTTGGATGCAACAGAAGAAAAATAAAACGAAAGCCTCTAAAACATTAAACATTTTTTTCCTGGGAATATATTTTACAGCACCAATTAAACTTGCAATCTTCACAGTGCAATCCTATGCATGCTAATTCAGTAGTATATTCTACCAAGCCCAATGGAATTTATTCTCAGCTAAGTGTAGATACCATTCCAGTCTTCAGTTAGTCAGAACAGAAAAATGTACAGGAAATAAAAATAATCAGCATTAGACATCTCCAATACAAGGAAAGGCTTAAATGAATGGAGCTCTCTATACTTACCAGTAACACATAAAACTTTGAATAGGAAGAAAGAATTAAAAGCAATATTATCAAAGAAATTAGCAAAATAATTTTGAAAACTGAGAGCAGGATCAGTAAAGACCAAAATATTTTCTTACATAATGTATAATTAATCTCATAAGATTCAATGTAAAACAACTGCTAAGTTTAGGGAAATGTTACACGTTACCAGTAGCTACCAACAATAACAAAATCCTTTCCATACTCAAATTCTATATAGATTAATCTGATTGTCTTTTGATAATGTGGGTGACTAGTTTGGTTCATGCAGCAGTTTCATACAGATATAAGCTGCCTTATAATAACTCAGACAATCTTTTTTTGGTAGCTCAGTATTGTTTCTTCAACCTCATAGTCTTTAGATGTGTGTGGAATTAGATGTCTCACCATCCTCAGCAAGGATGGTATTTTGGTCAACCCTGACTACAGTTCTCCAGCATTTCATGTAATATTTTCTAATCCAGCAAAGATGTTAGGGACAAGACCTAGGCATTCTGCATGCACTCCAACCCTGAACCAAGCTCCTTCCTGAAATCTACTGATTGAACTGTTTGAACATCACTTGCACTCAGGAATTCAGTCAAGAAAATATGTTTTTGGCAAGTATCAGGCTACATTTTTAACAAACAGAATAGGCTTTAAAAAAGATCAGGTATCTCTCTTATTAGGCGTTTGTCCATCAGGAGCTTGTAACCCTTTTTTTTTGGATGAAACCTTTTTTTTCAGAGGCACTATCCCTTTGATTAACACCGAACAAGAAAGGATAATCAGTCATATTCTGCTTTTAATTCTAGAATGGATTAGATATTTGGCATGGATTGGTTACTGTTAAAAACAGAATAATAGATATTATGGATCTTCCTTCAAGACAACTGTTTCTCCCCACTCCAACCTTTGTTTTCTAATTATGTTCATGGTTTGGGACCTTCATATAGTCAGAACCGACATTTAATAGAAACGTAAAAATACTTTGGGAATGTTTTACCTTTACAATACTAACGTCCACGGCTAGAATGTTCACATCAGTCCTTTAAAACAGAATTCGGCTCTACGTATTATTTACCTCTGCTGATAACTATTAACTCCGACTTTAAATTTGCATTACAGAAACCAAGGTAAGACGGATGACGATCGTTTTCCTCTCACGCAGTTTGGAAATGAAATGGACTGGCATTTTGAAGGACAAAACTACGACCCATTTACTCGTCTATCACAAAAACAGCAATCAAACCACAAGTCTAACTCTTCCTGGAAAATGTCACACTGCGGTCCCCGAAGCAAATGACTGCTCATCTTATTTCTTCTCTCCCGCCTCCACAAAGGAATTTCCCCATAATTCCTTCTATGCATTATCTTCTCGAACTTCTATCTTTTTCTGCTCTCTCCGTAATATTTCCTTTTCGGTGCCACCTTAGTTTCCTTCTTCTCCCCCATCCCCGCGCCGGCCTACAGAAGCCCTTTCCCTTTTATCTCCCGCCAACTCCCTTGAAGACACTGTTTTGGTCCCCGCGCCACCTGCCCCCTCCCCAACTTAGCTGCACCGGACTCAAGCCTCCTGAGTTTATTCCATGTTTTCGCGCGCCTCACCCGTGATGGCGGTGAATTGCTGAATTAACCCTTTCAACACTGAGGCGGCAGCGGAGCCCCCGGGCGCCGCCATCTTGCCGCCTCTATCACCGAACAACACTCGCCACCTGCCGGTCCCAGTGCGCAGGCGCAGACCTACCGCGCCCCAATTCCCTTGCGCGCTTTCAATTTCAATATCAAGCGTAATGGAGAGCATGACGTAAAGGAGGAAGAAGCATATCGTCTGTCTCGAAATGGCATCGGAGATCTCAATTGCTGCTCTCTAGCGGCCGGAGGATTTCTGATCTGGCGCTTGACTTCAAAGAAGGCTGCTCTAGAAAATCCTCCATAGTTCTTCATCTTGTTCCAAGGGGATTTCCGCCTTACCTTATAGGGCGGTACCTACAAATGTAATAAATCTAAATAAATCGAATAAACCTAAGTGTGTAGCGTCGGGGTCTTCCCCCAATGTGCCATTACATTTGACACTGAGGTCTGGACTCTGAGCACAAGTACTAAGAGAACTTACTCGAATGAAACTATATGGAATGATTTCAATCAGAAAGGTATCCTAGGCCAAATTTCCATTAGTGTGGAAAACAGTAGTTTAAAAAGGCCTACCTATCCTGTGCAACACTGGAAAGCAATAACTATATTTGAAATAATTGGACCCAAGAACTGTTACAAAAGCAGGAGGAATTAAGGACATAAGCTACTAATAGTGTAAGAGTTTATGGCCAATAAAGGAGCTGCCTGAGAACATAAATTAACTCCTCCAATCTATAGGAAAGAACAAAAAGTATTTAACCACTTCAGATTAAATACTCTGGACAAATAATGTCACCCTAATTACATCTTCTAGACAATTTAAAGTTCATGTATTTTGGCTTATGTATTTGCATGCTGTAAGAATCTCTGGAGGCTAGTTTTGCCTTGTAAAATCATCTCAACATCCTGAAATTATAATTGGTAGTACTTTTTGATAAGAACTGTGACTTCGGCTTTTATCCATAGCTATATTTATTCTAAAAACTATTCTAAGAATTGATTCTAAGAACTAAAAATATATAAGCACAAGCCAGGAGGTATGCAAGTGTTTCAAATGTAGTTTTGGTTTTAAAGAGGTGACTGAGAAATTTCAGACAAATTTAGCAAAAACCAAAGTGGATTCTGAGAAATATACCCAAATGTTAGCCTGAAAACCAACACAAGAGGGTAGTGGTTAAGGTGCTAGCCTAGAAACAAGGAGACTGAGTCCTGCTTTAGGCATGAAAGTCAGCTGGGTGACTTTTGGGCATCACTCTCAGCCCAACCCCTCTCACAGGGCTGTTGTTGTGGGGAAAACAGGACGGAGTATTATGTATGTTCACCACCTTGAGTTATTTATAAAAATAATAAAGGTGGGATTTTAAAAAAACATTATTTATTAAATTTCTCCCCCACCCATCTCCCCCCAATGATTATTATTAAATCATTAATGAC